GCGTAAGCCGATAGAATCGAGTTCCAAGTTACTAGATCCACCTGTGGCATTCCATCCAGTAAGTCCCTGGCTTGATGCAAATACCCGCTGCGAGCATATGCGCAAAGCATCGTTGTCGATACGTAGAAGTTCTTCTCTGGCATGTCATCGAACACCTGCTTGGCTTTCTCAAGGTCCCCACCCTGTGCATATAAAGCTAGCATCGAATTCCACGAGACTTGGTTCCTCTCCGGCATTCTCTGGAAGATCTCCACAGCCGACTCGGTTTCTCCCGCTTGAGAATAGGCACTGAGCATAGAAGTCCACGAGATAAGATCGTGCTGAGGCATCTCGTCGAAAACTCGCCTGGCATTTGTTACGTACCCTCTCTGGGCATATCCAAGTATCATCGAAGTCCAGGAAGAGATGCTGTGCTCGGGCATGTCCTGGAAAATCTGCTTTGCGTCAGTGAGATGCCCGTTCTGTGCGTAGCAGTAAAGCATCGAGTTCCACAGTACCATGTCTCTTTGTGGGACTCCATCAAATATCTGTTTCGCTTCCAGTATATGTCCGGCTCGGACCTGTGATGTTAGAACTGTTGTCCACTTGACTAACCGGTGTGAGTCCACCATTCTCTATAGAAGTTGTCGAGAAGAGAACAGGAACATACTCACGGTCAAGGAGGTTTTTGTCGGCAGTATGGTCATCGAAGCCGACTTCATCTTCGGCTTATATGCACGGTATCAAACTCTAGATCACTGTTCCACTAGCCCGCCTGCGGTTGAGAAGTCATGTCGTCAATTAAACTTACAGATCTCACCTTTATGGTGGTCTGACTCCTTCGAACTTGAAAACAGCGTTGTTCCTCCAAGAAGTTGTTTAGGAGAGTTTCATGGAAGAGCCACACTGCGTCTCCGTTCGGCTTGGTGACACCAAGAACTCCGATGTAAGTTCGTTTGATATGTGCATCGACCTGAAAGCAGGAAACAGATTAGCTTGGAAGTCGAAGCTGGATGCGACTTTACCAAAGATGGATCCGTCGATGTTTTCGGAAATCCAGCCAGGAGATCATCCACAGGCGGCTGGAAGTCTGCCAAGTTTGTTCTAGGTACTTTATGTTGTTTCTACTCAGTTCTAGCTTCTTCTGTTCCTCAGGCTATCAAGTTCTCGGGACTATAACGTACTTTGGAGTCGCTACAAATCTGGTTCTGTACTTGATGAAGTCGCTGAATCTCAGCAACGGTGCAGCAGCAAATGCAGCAACTAATTGGGTGGGAACTTCATATGCAACTGCTTTGATCGGGGCATTCATTGGAGACGCATACCTCGGAAGATACTGGGCTTCAGTGCTGTTCGTTGCCATTCACTTCCTGGTAAAGATACATGAAATCAGTCGTATGTAGAAAACGCGATAAGATCGTCGACTTACAGGGAACGCTGCTTCTCACGGTCCAATCCGCATTACCATCGTTCAGATCCTTGTGCAGCTCGGGCGACGTATCCAAATGTCCCCCAGCATCAGCCGGAAAAAGAACTTTCCTGTACACCGCCCTCTATATCTCGGCACTCGGAGCTGGAGGACACCAGCCATGCATGTTCGCATTGGGGGCCGATCAATTCGAGGATGGATATCCACCGGAAAGCCGGAACAAGAGCTCCTTCTTCAGCTACTTCCTCGTCGCATCTTTACTAGGCTCGCTCTTCGTGACCGTGATCTTGTCATACGTGGAAGTAAACCACAGCTATGCCATCGGCTACGGCATTTCCACTCTCGCTATCGGACTGGCAGGACTTACGTTCATAGCCGGTATCACGTCCTATAGGCACTTCAGGCCGGGAGGAAATCCGTTTCGTCGTGCCATTCAGGTTGTTGTAGCAGCTGTTAGAAAATGGGAAGTACCTGTACCGACGGACAGTTCCCTTTTGCACGAGGCCAGTTCCTCGGACACCGTTGGGAGGCGAATTTTCCACAGTAACCGCCTAAGGTAGACTAGCCTGTTTTCCACATATTGACGAGAGCTTCATGGAACAGCTTCCTTGACAAAGCGGCAACGCGAACGGAGCAGGACCATGGTGGTGAAGTCAGCCGATGGAAGCTGTGCACTGTAACTCAAGTCGAAGAGGTCAAGTGTATCGTCCTGATGGTGCCTCTCTGGATCAGCTCCTGTATATACCAGATGGTTGAAGCTCAGGTGACCACCACGTTTGTCGAGCAAGGCGCTTGCATGGATAACAAGTTTGGACTGCTGCACCTGTCACCGGCGTCGCTCTACACTTTCTACACTCTAGCAGTCATCGCCGCCACTGTTCTGTACGAGAAGCTTCTCGTCCCAAGTCTACGAAAGGTGACTGGAAACCAGAGAGGTATAACCATCCTCCAAAGAATGGGCATCGGAAATGTCATCCTGATAGTCGCTATGATGGTGGCTGCTGGAGTTGAAAGGAAACGGCTTCAGGTAGTACGAGAACACCACCTCGCCGCTGATGCCGTCTCGACTGTTCCCATGACAATCTTCTGGCAAGTGCCGCAATACGTCTTGTCTGGTTTAGCGGAGGTTTTCACGTACGTAGCTCAAACCGAGTTCTTCTACGACCAGGCCCCGGACGGCGTGAGAGGGATCGGGAGTGCGTTGTCAATGGCCAGTGTCGCTGTTGGCAACTACCTCAGCACACTCACAGTGACCGTTTTGAACGACGTCACGCAACAAGGAGAGTGGCTGCCGCGGAACTTAAACCAAGGCCGCCTCGATCTCTTCTTCTGGGTGATGGCAGGAATCTCGGTTCTAAACTTCGGTTACTTCCTGATCTGCGCTGTCACCTACAGATACATCAATGTTGAAAAATCAGCGGAATAGAATAGGAAAGCTCCAAAAAATAAAATTCCTCACGTACAAAACAGCAAAGTCGCGCCTGCCGCTGGAATGTCCCTACAGAAAAGGATGCGGCCAGAAAAACAAAGGCTGTCAGTAGAATGGTTGTTCACCTGCGATAGAAAATCGGTGACTGGTGCTCCAGAATTGAATTAAAAACGAGGCCTGCGCTGTCGTAAGTAACACGTTGCGGCGCAAACTCATGCAACAGCCTGCGAGAGTTGGTCCAGGAACGACTCAACAACTTCGGCAGCCTTACACGCCTCACAAACAGCGCCCTCGTACCTGTTGTTGTTGCCACGATGATAAATGTATAAGCAAAGGAGGAGGAGGAGGTTTGCAAGTTCTTCACTTACGTGGCTATTATAATGAAAGGTGCGTGACGAGAAATTATGACCCCGCAACCACTTAAGTTCCTGGCATTCACGCAACGTGCGCAGTAGACGTTCTCCAAGATCGCAGTAACTAGATCTGTTTGCAAGAGTATCATCGCTACGGTTAGAGTAATAGAACAAGGAAACCAAAACCAAAACGTCGTCGAAGAACTCTATCAGGAAGGGCTAATCCCGGGAAAGAAATACAAGAAGGAAAACATGAAAGAAGAACTCTCACGTACACTTATCGGGTCCAATGTAGAAGTAGTCCGTGTGGAGCGAATTGTTTCTAATGGCTTCCATCATGGGCCGCATGCCCGAGGGCTTAAAGGAGAGCACCTCTTGCTCGACACTGTAACGTTCCAACCACAAAAAATCCATCACAAACATTAAAGAGTCAAAAGGAGTTTCTCTCGCTCGAATCAATTCACAGCAACAGTAAAGCAAAAGAATCAGAGCTGCAAAGGAAAAGCTCCGCTTACTCACATCAATGTGTAGAAGCGCGATGGCCGATCGGCGGAGACATTGATCAGCGCGGCGCCTGTAAGAGGCTTATCTCCTGCGCAAAATCGCAAAGAAATCAAATGCGCAATCGCTCGCGCGATGGCGTCTGTCTACCTGAGACGGAGATGAATGGCAGCGCCCATTTCTCCCACAGCCGATGGAGCGTCGCCCGGTCTCCCATCCCCGAGACAGAGAGAACCCTGTAAACCCTAAATAAATTTTCTGCTAGAACCCTAAAATCTCCATCTGGCGCCAAGTCCCAGAATTTGAAATTTTTGGAATGGATTACGTTTGATGGCGCGAGAGAAGAGACCCACTTTTATTGGCAGCCCGCCAAAATCGTTTGTAGCCATCCCCTCCAATTGATTCCCTTTTATTTTTTCCTCTCTTTTCTTTCGTGGCTTTTGTGAGAACACGGGAAGTTCATCCATTACATGAAGGGGTGTCTCGCTTTTTTTTCTTTGTTGGTTTTGTGAGTAGGACCCAAACCAAACCAAAACACATCACAAGCATTTTCTTTTTCTTTATTTTTCATTTTTTATTCTCATATACTCATTTTCTTTTTTATTTTTTATACTGAATATTTTTTAGTTTTTTATTTCCTATATACTCAGAACAGGACACGAAACCGGCAAAGAGACGAGCGAATGAATTGAATCGATTCATCATTTCCTCGACCAATAACTTGTTCACATCTCTGATGCGGTGGAAGGGCTTTTGTCTTTAGAAAAAAGGATAAAAGTGGGGAAATTAGTGCTTTTCTTCCTAATAAAATACCTGGAATTGTTCTATTTCATGTGCTGGACAAACAATGTGGGTTGTGTGATTTTGTCAAGGCATGCAAATCTATGATCTCTCCACCACACCACTACACCACCACCACTATCCACCCCACCATTGTTTGGATTGAATTGGAGGCCCCCACAAAAGAGAGATGGCAAGCAAATCCTCTAAACTCTTATCCCATTTCACACTTTGTCACTCAGTTTTATTTATTTATAGTTTTAATTTTTAATTTTCTGGATCGAAGGAAAAGCATTGTTTGTCTTGTTCAACCCAGAGGAAAACTCGTCCCAATTTCCATTCAATGGCGAGGAAAAGGCCGGGGTGGGACGACAAATCCAACTGATATTTTTGTTCCCTTTAAAAACTCCAGTGGTAGAGTTTCCATATCGTCTAGCAATTATATCTTATATTCTAGTGTCCCATGGACAAAAAAATAAAGAACAGACTATCAATCAATCAAAACAAAAATAAAAAAAATTTGAAAATATTTATATAATTTGCATTTTATTAATAATAAATCGCCACACCCAAACACACACTGTTGCTTGCAGATCTCATGTTGGTGCCTGTTGCAACATAAGAATACAAACCAATCGTGCAATGTGCCAGGCCACCGCCCAATTAAACAAGCCCAATTAGCGCTAATAAACAAAACAATACTTAAACACGGCTAGAGGTAGAGTCAAACAAGACGATGCCTTGTTTTCTTTCCGCTATTTTTCCAATTTTTTTTCTTGAGATGGTCTCACATTATCAAAGTTTCGGCCTATGTACATTCTCCACTCGGGAAGACAAATTGCTCGCTCTTTCTCTACTCTTCTCTGCCGAGAAACGTCTTCTTCTTTTTTTTTTCTTTTCTTTCTATCCAATCCAAGCAAGCGCTGCTGCGTCTTCGTTTTTACACACCCATCCATCCATCCAATCCACAGTGTTGCTGCGTTGCGTAGCGACGACCAACTTTTTCCTGGGCGCATCTTTGCCCTCGTCTTCCTTGGCTGGATCCATCCATGACTACGACTCCATCCGAATCCCACCAGAGACGGTGAGCGATCCATCGATCCATCGCGCATCCCGATCACGATCACGAACGAAGACGATCGATCGATCGATCCATCGATCCATCGTCCGAGAGCATCGAGCGAGTCATGGGAAGAAGCCGCCAACCATTCCAGAGTGTATGTGTGTGTGTGTGTGTGTTCCCTTTCGAGTCTCGAGGAAGAAAAGTCCAAGTCCATCCATCCCTGTGTGATGCAACAAAACCTGTCGCGTCACTCGAGCCGATGCCTGTGGAGGATGCCCCGCCTTTCTTTTTCCCGCAGGAAAAAAATAAAGGCGAGAGAACTTGTATACTCTGTCCCTGTTCCCCACAAATCTCCACAAGCACCACCACCACCTCCAAGAATCGATCGACGACATTATGCCATGGACAAACTTTCCACTCCCCATCCTTCTTTTTTTTGCTTTTCCTGTGCCCGGATTCTTCTCCACCACCCTGCTTTGGCCGCCTTGTTGCTTTGTTGAGCTCTCACGCAACAACTACACTCAAAACTTACGTCCTCCTCCGCCTAAAACTTCGCAGCTACAAACCATGCCTGCCTTCCCCAAAAAGAAAATCCCTGCCTGCCTGTGCCAGAGCCACTGCTGCGTTTTCCATCCCTTGCAGACCTCCTGTGAGACGAGACCCCTGTGAGAACCTATCCCCCCTGCCTGCCTGCCTGCCTGACCAGCGTGACGGCCCCTCGTCACGACATATACACTTGGACGCTCGCGTTCTTGGAGTGTCTACACAGCGGGCAAGTGTCCAAGCGCGCCTCACACTCTTTGCACAGGCACAGATGCCTGCACGGGAGCAAAAGTATGCACACGTCGTTGGACCGGCATACTCTGCAAGTCCGCTTCTCCCGGAGCTCCTTGTTCTCCTTGTAAGTCCGTGCGTGATCGTCCGCGGCGTCGTCCGGGTGGGACGACTCCGCGTCGTCGGCGTCCGTGTCCCCGACCCCCTCCCTGCTCTGTTCGCGGCTCAGCGCCACCGCCTGCTGGAGATTGCTCCGGAGGCTCGCCACCATCATCTCCCCGTTCTTGGCCTTGTTCTGCCACAGCCGCGCCTCCACCGTCAATTGCTTCACTCGCTCCTCCAGCTCCATGTTCCTGCGGTTGATCTTCTCCATCTCTATGTCCTTCTCGCGAAGCCGCCGCGCTACGAATCGCTCCACCGAGTTCAGCAGCGCTCTGGATTGCTGCTGCTGTTTCTCCTCGATGGCTCTTCTCATTTGCTCTTCCTGCCAAGCGTAGCGATTGGTCCGTCAGTTTGAGACTCAAAGAACTAGGAAAATAAGACACAACTAACCTGAGCTCGCATCAACTGCTCGATCTCGTCTCTTTGCCGCTGCAGCTCAATCGCAATCTCCTCCACCAGCATCGACAGCCCCGTCGTGGAATTGAGCTCTAATTTCCCACAACCGGATGGTGCTGTGCTTGACAAGCGGTCGTCCGGGAAGGCCAGGCGGAGGCCTGTCGAGACTCCGGTATTGGGAGCGCCAGAGACAGGCATCGTGGACACGGACGGACGATGAAAGTCATGGACAATCTGTTGATGCTGCTGCTGCTGCTGCGATGGTGGGTGCTGCTGCTGCTGCTGCTGCTGATGCTGTAAATGGTGCTGATGCGCTGGAAGAAACTCCGATTGCCTGGGTCTCTTGTTGGAACCATTGATGCCACACACGAACTCGTCCGTGAATTGAGCACCACTTTGCTGGACTGGCGCTGATCCTGCAACTACACGCACACCCATCTCAGAGACGCGCAAAGCGAAACAATGCAAGAACACAACCTAAAAACATGCAAGGAAAGTAGCAAAACGATCGATCCCTGGAGACACTTACTTGAATTCATGTGTGCGATCTGGTTCACGACCCCGGGCGCGGCGCTCATGAGCTGGAATTGGACATCCTCGTGCGGCGTCCCCGACACGATGTAGGGGAATGGATTCTTGCTTCCATTCGCAGCGAAAACTTGCCTCGCCCTGTTCCACAAACATCAAGATGTAAATTCGCGCTCGCGGATTCGGGAGAGGAGATCACAAACCTCACGCGGAAATCGGCCACCGGGATCGTGGATGGATACTGCGCTTGGACAGCCATTCTTTTCTGCGGGATTCTGGCTTCCAGAGTCGCTGCGATCTTGATTCAATGCCGGGCACGAGATCTGGAAGCGGCATTGAGAACCATCGGCAAGGAGAGGAAATTATGCCTACCTAGGAGCTTTCTAGCCGCGGCCGCGAAGCGATTGCGAGCCCTGTTCTAAACCCTCGCCACCAATCAATCACAGGCCCGCCGATGGAATGCTTCTTTCCATCCACGCGTTCTTGCGGCCGATAGCAAACGCTGGAACAAGAATTCCCACAATCTTGATCGGCTCCCCTCTTGGAATGGCGAAATCTTGCGCGCTTTCAATCCCGCCGCGGCGCTCAAGAATCATGCAAGACTGCGCGTCCCCCCGGATTCGGCGTCGTCACAGCGCCACGATTTCAGTGCGCGGCGATCGATTCCAGGAAAAGAGAAGGAGACGATGGAATCGCTGCGCGCACCGTCAAGGCGCCGATAGAGGCGAGAGAGAGAGAGAGCCCTTTCTTTTTTTTCCTCTACTCTATAGCGCCTTCTTTCTCTTCTCTCTATTCGCCCCCACACATATAAGATTTCCTATTAAGCGCTTAAAACTTTGGCGGGTCCCTAAAGAAAAAAAAAAGATAGCCATTTTAACTTTGTAACTTAAGGACTTCCGCTAAACTTAACGCTTTCCAAACACCAGCTAAATCCGGTCACCCATACGCCGTATGGCCCCATTACTTGGCGTATGGAGTTGGGCCACTGGCACAAAGTCCGAGCGTACGACTGGTACGTTACGCGCTGATGTTATTGGGAGTGGTCCAAACGGCAAAGAGAGGGCGGCGCCTCCACGCATGGGGAAATGACCCCCGCATGCCGTCAATTTTATTTTCCTTCTTGCGGTTTTAACCGTACGCGCTAACCTACTGTAAAAATGCCCCCGATAATTAGGGCAACTACGACATTTTTTAAAGAGAGCTGCCTTTTTGTTTCCGAATTAGAGGTGGCGTATATTCCAGTTGGCCACGTGGCCACTGGCCTGGTGTGTGCATGAGGCTGTATTATTTTTCCATGCTTTTCTCATACATCTTCGCGGCGAAGTTGGTGTTTCAAGCCCAAATTAAGGAGCGGACTCGCCGATCTTTGATAAAATTAAAACAACGCGGGCGTGGCAAATTTAACCACGCCCCCACGCCGAGACAGCGAGAGAATATTTTTCTATCGATTTCTTTCTATTTCTTTTTCCGGAAATTTCCGAAATTTTTAATTCCCGGAAAAGTAAAATTTCTAGGTAGCTTTGACTGCGAGGGAGTCGCGTCGCCCAATCAGCGTCACTCTCACAAAGGGAGTGTGTGTGTTTGTGTGTGTGTGTGTGTGTGTGTGTGTGCGCATCATATTGATGTGTGGTGCCGGTGAATAGTTTTTGGGTAGAAAGCGTCGGGAGATTGCATCATCATTGGGGTTGTTGCAATGATTGCGACAAGCGCGTACGTTCGGGGCCGTACACGTGGCGCCAAGGCCGTGCCCTAGTACGGACGCGCGGGGGGTGGGAATATCCGTCCCATTCAAACACACGGTTCTTCTACTAAAGAGGGGGGCCACAGAGCACCCAGTGGGGAGGGAGCTCCAAGTTTCATTGTGAGTGTGAGCGAGCGTGAGTGAGAGATTGAGTGAAAGCTGCTGCTGCCCAAGAGCGCCTTTGTTTTCTTGCTGCGTTTGTCAAACCAATCAATCGAGCTGGGTCTGGGTCTAGGTCTGGACGAATGGACTTGTATGGCCAGAGAGAAAGGGAAAGAAAATTTGCAGCGGCCCTCTCGACAGGAAGGAAAGGGAGAGAAAAAAAAAAAAATGGGGCACTGGGTAAGAACTGGAATGGAGTGAATTGAATGGGCAGCGACACCACCACTAGTCGGCTGTGACATCACTTTAAAAGCAAAAAAACCACCAAGGCCCGGGTGGGGGAGGAGACGATCTCCCAGAAAACAAAGAGCGGAGGAAACCGTTTGGATTGCGAGGAATCTAACATTTATGAATGGCGACCATTGATGCTGGCTAGAGCTGAGATCCAAATTGAGAAAGGTGTGGTGCAGAGAAGACAGATTGTGTTGTGCTATATATATATATTTTTTAATTCCAGACTCCTATGTGGCAGCCAGCATCAGCACCACGTGTCTGCCACATGGGACTCAAACATTGTGAAAAAAGAGAAAATTCCAAAACCAGGCTGGTAGTGTCCAGCATTATTGAGCAGTGGATGCAGAATGGACTGAGTGGTGAGGTTCCATATTCCATGTTGGGTAGGGTCTGGGTGGGAGTGCAGCAGATTGTGCAATGCCAAAGCAATACATTGACAAGCAGGAATGGCATCCTACTCCTAATCCTAGGTAGAAACTTTCTGTGCCTTCGTGGACTCTCCTCTTGTTTACTTTTGGTTTTCTTTCTTGGTTCTTTGTTGGTGGGGTTTGAAGGAGTAGGTTGAAGGTCCTGCTGCTGCTGCTGCTGCTGCTCCTGTTTCTTCTGCTCCTGTTTTCAGCAACAGGGCAATCCAATCCACAACACAAACACAGAGGTCCCTCCACTGCAGTCCAAAGCTATTTACATTTACCATTCCATACCAAGAACATACAAGCAAAAGGCAAGAAAGGGATTGGATTGGGAGACTTGTTCCTTGTGAAAGGAACTATTCTCCTGTACCACTGCTTTAAATGCAGGGCAAAATCATTTGGCTCACATTTTAAGTGGAAAATCTGGACTGCTATACCTTGGGCTTGTAGTGGGCCAAAAAAGTAAATTGGATTCTGTAGGGTCCCATCTTCTTCCTGTCAAATGAGGCCAATTCCTTTCCATCTTTTCTTTATTTTTATTTTATTTTTCTTTTAATTTTTCAGTTTCCCTATACAAGCAACTGTCAAGAAGGATCCTCATGGATGAATGTGCTGCTATCCAGTTCCTGAAATCTCATAAATATAATAATGGAAAAGAAATTGTAAGCTTTTCCAAAAATGCATAAATCAGGCTGTCTGTCAACAGTTCGTACACAGAAGACAATGCCAGTGCTACACTTGTTCCCCTCACACCACTGTACTCTCCTGCTTTCAGATCCTGGCCTGGCTCTGGCCCCCCTCCTGGACTGACACACTCCTTTGAGAATAAATCATTGATGCTGCCCTACACTTGCTACTTTTGCTGACACTGCTGCTGTTGCTTCCTTGCACTGGGGGGTTCTGGAACCAAGAAATTTATACATATAGCTGTTTATCTAGAAAAAAGAAAAAAAGTCATTAGAAAACTCTAGAGTCTTGTTTGTAGCAGCTCAGGAAAATGCAAAACTTAAACTCTATAAATTAACTGTTGGTGGTGCTGCTATTGCTGTTGTTCATGCCAGAGGCATGAGCAAAGCAAGCAGCATGCCCTGCATTATCACATCCACCACCAACTTCAAACATATAGTGGGATCACCCTCAATCTGTGGCATATCTTTGGGTCCAAGATACATAAGAGTCATGTGTAAGTATTGGCACGGCACACAACTTTCTCTGCTTTTGCTGGCTAGAGTGTGTGTGTGGGTGTGTGCGCTTGTGTGTGTTGGTGTGTGTAGGTTGATGCTTTTTTTGAGTATTAGGTAGCTTTGCACTTTCTTTGTGGCTTGCATTATAGAAAATTTTGATTCCTGTCTTAGTGCTTGCTGCTGCCTGTAAGACTTTGTGTGTGTGTGATGTGTGTGGGTGTGGTGTGTGTGATTATTATTCTCGTGTACTACCACTTTATTTGCATATTCATTCATCCATTCATATATTGTATACAAGGTCTTGCAGCGCCCCCATGGTCCTATGCTTCCAACTTATGTATAGAATATCACTAAGGAAGTGTTGGTGGTATCTGTCCAATTTATTTTTGCCCCCAAAGTGATCTTGACAATGCTGGTGGTGTGCTAGGAGCTACTAAACTATAATCCTCTAACTGAGGAAAATGAATGGATTCATGCTCTTGTTGTGACACTGGAGGTCTTCATTTGCCTTCTTTTTCTTTCCTCCCCCTTTGTGATTCTTGATCCTAGTTAAAGCAACCTCAACTTGTGTGATTGACAGCAACTTCATTGTCTAGACAAGTTGGGTGGGATTTTGTGTCGCTTCTCTATTGCTTGGATCGAAATCCCAGTAATTAAGTTAAGTGGATCCAATCCTGACTAGCCAGCCGGGACCAGCAAGCCAAAGCAGCACCAGCAACATCTTCGTGAAAACAACAACAGCACACGAAGAAATGTCATGGGAAGTTTGCTGGCGATTTCCTCCTCACGTATAAGCTCACAGTTGCAGACCGTGACCCGGAATAATAAATAATAATAAATAAAAAAGCGAGAAAAAAAGGTTGTGGGAAAAAGAAATCCTTGAATGTGTCCGCAACTTAGTGGAGAACTCCTTCACATGTTGCAATCGAGGGCGAATTGAACATTGATCTAAGCAAGTTGCTTCGTGCATCTCTCTTTCAGAAACATTAGAGTAAAAGAGAGGCCCGAGTCCACGTCTGGAATCCCTGGGTTCTTTCGGTCCGACACATCGCTCACATCCAAAGTAGCTAGATAGGAGAACTCATTGAATGCATACGAGAACTTCCCATGTCCCCCTATTATAAATTTTCTTCCTTTTTTATTAAAAAGGGCAAAAGAAAACAGTAAGAAAACAAAAACAAATCCTTGTAGTACTTCGCTATCAATTCTTATTGAGGCGTGGTTTGGTTCCGTAGCACACAACAATCTGCCACCTACAGGCCTGAACAAAGTAAGAGTCGATACAAAAAAAAGGATTCATTGAAAGCTGATCCGTCAACAGCAAAAAGCACAAGTAAAAAAACAAAATAAAAATAAAATAAAATCTTTGTAAAAAGGTAATGGCACCATTCTCTCCACGTAAAAAAACCAAATGAAGAAAGCTGTGGTCCCTGTGGGAAACGATGCGCTGATCATCCCTTGTTTGTTTGTTTGCTTCTCTCGCGTCTACTCTCTGGCTTTGTTTGCTTTGCGTTTCTTTGGCTCGCCCCCTCTCCCGCCCGGCCTAGCGTAGCTTTAATGAAACTTGAGGGACCCTCTCTCTCTCTTTCTCGTCCAAATTGATCATGGAATTGTTCTCTTGATGATAAAGAACCTTGTCAAGCCAACTGGCGATGGCTACCACCACCACCGCCACCTTTTCTTCCTATCATCGTTGTCAGTTGAGTAGAAGCCACGCCCCATCACAAGTAATTCTCTATGCACTGGGTCTTGACACACTACCCGTGCACAGGCGAGAGCTCGAGACGTGAAGTTGAGAGCCTGGAAAGCTGTGAGGCCTGGACCACTCATAAAACTCTATTTCCTTTCATAGAAATATCAATAAAGTATTTGAATTTATTATACAACACTATTATCTCTTTTGTCATGTCGTACCATTTGCATTGCGTGATCCCTGGTCAGACGCACGAGGATGTCACCCCAGTTTTTAAGAGACAAACAAGCGAAAAGATTGGAAACGGAAACTCTTACTGGTTTAGGATCAACTTAGAAAGAGGTATGCATACAGAGGGGCTATATAGTATAGTAAATAGCTTATCGTTTTCTGATTCTCTTTCTGCAGCCTAGGAAACGATGCACTACGCTCCAGACGGCGTCTGCCTGCGTGGAGATTGTGTGTGAGAAAGCGATGGATGGATTGAAAGATAGATAGCACCACCCGAGTCGTCTTCCTTTACTGGGTGTTTTGAGTGGGACTTGCTGCTGCTGCTTCTCAGAAAAAAATGGGTGGGGCAAGTTTCCATCACTTGAATTCCCGTGATGTAAGCCGTGTGCTCATTAAGCACGGCGGATTCACGAGAACTAGAGAGAGAGAGAGGCGGGGCGGTCTTTTTCGGGCCGCAGTCGGACTCTAGCTATCTGTTTCTGTATGCAAGAATTTGATTTTCTAGAAAGAAAAAATAGAAACTCTGTACCACCTTTCATAATAATATAAGATCCCGTGAGGATGAGCGCTTGCAAGCACACATTTTCTTGCCTGATCGCCCTGCGTGGTGATGCTGTGTACGCAGATGACTCACATAGAATACTGAAAGACACTCGTAATTATTCACACTGGTACAGGGCCCCGGGAATATCACTCTTGCTTCTTGGTCTCTTCCTCTTGTAGCTAATCTCTCCACGCTTCCGAATGGAACAAGGAGCGTGGTTTTGGGGAACTGTTCTCTCGCTGTACACGCACAGCAGCATTTGGCAAGCTTTTTCCATTTCAGCTTCATTACACGGACTGAGCACTGCTGGGCCTGCTGCTGCTGCTGGATCTGTGTTCATCCAGGACTTGGCTTGTAATTCAACACACCCCGCTGACAGTGACAAAGCTCTTTTGGTTTCTAGTCCTTTTGCAAGAGACGCGTACCAAGCACAGCTCCTCCAGACAAAAACGAGAAGAAGCTTCACCTCTTTCTCTAGTACTGGCAAAGAATCAAAGCACCTCTCACTTCAGCCATCCTGTTTTTGCACACATGACGCGTCTGTGTATGTCTCCTTTTCTTTTTTCCTGGCTTGACCATATACCGGCATTACACCACCTGGCGTAAAATGGAAATTAAAGTCTTTGCATGGAACCACGTACTCCACCGTCTATATTGATTTCACTACACACACTTTGGAAAGACTTGTCAAACAGCAACTCGGAACGAAACTTTTGCCGTGTGGTGGTGTGGACTGGGCACAGGCGCAGGCGAGTGCTCCTCTTTCTCGTGTCAGCTTTTGGGTGAAATTTACGCCCATGATTTTATAGTGGAGCCTAACTTGCTGACTTTTGCTCCTTCGTGCTTGCTGCAAAACGCATAAACATTTGCAATCTGTAATCTCGTGCTAAAGATCTTCCGTGTTTTTTTATCGCTCTTCATCATCATTTGGATATCGTTCCGTGATGAAAGTAGAAGAAGATCAGCGTAAGGACGTTTGTCCAGCTTCTTTCAACCTGAAACCTCCAGCCGATCGAGCGTGGCCATACAACCTTCGCCAATCTCGACCAAAGATGGTAGATCCATCAGGAAAAGCCGCTGGATCCCCCGCATGGGAGGAACTCGTGGCAACTTCTCGCAATACGAGACATGCATTGCCACCGGCGAACTCTCGGCAATCTCGAGCAGCGAAGGCAAGTTGCTCAGCCGGAGCCTGGAATAAGAGGAACTCTGGCAAGCTTCTCGCAGTGTGAGATGCTAACCTTTTAGCCTTTTAGCGAGAGCTTTTCATGTCGAGGGAGACGAAAGTTTATGTAGCTTCTCGCAGCTTGAGACGTGCAGCTTTTTCACACCCTGAAATGTATAATCTGTTCAGCGGCAGACTCCCAAGTCGGTTCGATTCCACAACCGGATATAGAAAGCTCAGCGAACATACCCGTAACTCGTCAACTTTGGTCTGGAAGCGAGCAAACTCCCGGCAGTCCGATATTTTAAGTTCCTGGTCGCCGCCTCCTTGTTGTGATTGTTGTGAAGTCATGGTTTCTAGGATGCGCTCCATTGTGGGACAGCCCGTGAGTTCTAGCCGCCGGAGATCGCAAAGCCTGCCCAGTCGTGGAACTTCGTCTAGCACTCCACACCCGTCTAGTACCAGCACCTTCAAGCTCGTAAGCTCTTCAAAACCGCGTGGAAGCCATCTCGTGGCATTTGCAGGCGCGTGAGACTCGGGAAGTCGCGCAGACGATGGCAGCCTTGTCACTCGAAGACTTCTCAGGGGTAGCACCCGTAGCATTCTGGAACCACTGAGAGACTCGTCGGCATCACTGCTGAATTCTCGTGTGTCTACCAGGATAAGATCAAACACTTCCAAACTTTCTTTGACGTGGCCGCAATCCCAGTCCGTCCATATATCACCTTCGCATGGACGAAGTCGTAGCACTTTCAGCCGTCGTAAGCTCCAAACCAGCCGAAAGTTCTTCACTTGGCGGGTGTCATCATCCTTCCTACAAAGCTGAGGTCCACAGCAGCACCTTCCTGTTTGCAGCTGTTGTCCCGGATCACAGCGCGCGACTCTAGCCTTGTCAAGCTCTTGAGATGTTCCCACAAGCGAACATCACATATGCACCTTCAAGTGCCTAAGCTCCAGAAGTCTGTCGAGAGAAAATCCAGGCGGATAATCCTAAGGTGATGTTGACCGTAGACAAGCCCGCAGAAGTGAAACATGTCGATCGTTGACGAGTAACGCATCATGATGAAGGACAAGAAAAGAAGCTGCGCGTCTTCGTTCCCCATGTCCATAAGCTCAGCTGCAAAACTTGGAATGCGCCATTCCACTCGTCATTAAGTTCCCACCTAGCCATCTTCTCGTAAACGTGCAATCAGCTGCCGTGCTTGTTTCGTCTCGCATACTTGGTCACCACCTCTACCGCTTTAGGAACTCCACTGCACTGCCAAACCATTTTCTTCACGAGCTCGGCATCAAATCTCGTCTTCTCCAAAGGCATGCACACAGAAGAGCTTGTAGCTATCGTCGTATGACAAAGGGCCAACCGTCACACCCGTCCACCTGTGATCGTCCAGCAATATATCTGCGTTCCTTGTGATGGCTACCACCTTGTTTCCCCTCCCTATCTTCTCCGTCAAATGTGTAGCCAGTTTTGCTTCCACACGTTGTCCAGAACTAGCAGGTACCTCTTCAGTGTGCTCCTAGCTATGATGTTGAAAATTTCTCGTCGCCCGTTTCCAACAGACCCCACCCTCCGGTCACTACCAGTCAATCGAGACAGAATGTCTGCTTGCAAAGTTATCAGCATCTCTAGAGACTCTCTGTTGTCAAACTCGATCCCAGCAAAGTGGCCCCTCACCTTCGTGTCTTGACACAACTGAGTGAGAAGTAGAGTTTTTCCTACGCCGGCCTGGCCAAAAACACAAATCCTTTCAGCGCCTCCCATGTCTAACAGCAGGGACTTGAGCCTCGTAAAGTCGCCATCTCTACCAACGATTAAACCCTGAGAAAGACTTGGTGGCTGGCAGCGGTAGTCTATCTCGGAAGAAGAGCTTGGTTGAGTCACATGAGAATCTGATGCCTGGATATCTCTCGCGAGTGTCAAAGCTGAAGGCTGCTGTTCCCGTTGCTGCTCAAGTGCCAGCTGAGCATTTATAATCGGCAGGAACCTCTCGACCTTAGACTTGGCGTCGTAGAAACGAAAAGTGTCCATGATGTATCTAAACAAACAACAAGGTTCAGGCGGTAAGAGAAACACATCGTACCTGGGATGAGCTGAGCGGCGATTTTCAAAATGCCGCTCCATGTCATTGAAATAGTTGCTGAAGAGCTTGAGCGCCTGATATTCGTCCGACTTTTGGTCATTGAGGAGTTCAATGCGTGCCTGTACACGATTGTAAACAGTGTACTCGTTAATTACCTCCCTGGACTCGCTTTGGAAATACCAGAACTTGGAGAACGCATAGAAGAGAGCTTTGAAGCCTTCGTTGATAGGCTCTGCGATGACTGCCGGCAAGATGGAAGTGTTATCGAAAGACATAGCCTCCCAGCAACAAATGGCATCCTCGAAAACGAAAATGAGAGCTGAGATGATATTAAAACATTAAAAAACAGATCAACTGACATTCAGAGACATACCTTTAGCAGCAAAGGGAACTTCTTGAAGAAGAATTGTAGTAAGACAAATCCACCGACAAATGAATGCCTGGGTCCCAATGTGTGAAAATATTCACACATACCCGAAGAGATCAAGCTCGTGGCTTTGATTGAGCAACTGCTTCGTCTACACGTTTCAGCACGTCCAAGTGAACAAGCAAGGACGATATGTCTGAAGGCCTTACTCCACCAATTCGTGAAGCCTGTCCAATATTTCGAGGTCGTATCTGCATGAAATTCGACAGTGTCACATAAGCACACAGTTGGTTTGGAGCGACTCACTTGTGTCAATTTCTCTCTTGCTTCTTTTGACAACGTCGCGACTGAGGTATAATCAACACTATCAGGAATTTCTTTATGCAGCTTTAATGCCATCTGTAGTAAGAAATAGTCAGGGAAGAAGTTGACCAAAGGTAAAAACCAGAATGACCTGTTTAAGCTGCATCGTTTGACGAGCTATGAGGCCCTCGTACTTGATATCAATCTCCACGCATTCCTTCTCTTCCCGTGATAGCAAAGGATTTCCAGCGCCATGTTTATCCAGTAGCTCATAATGGACATGCGGCCTTTTCAAGAGCATGTTCAGCAAAACTGGACCATCAACAGGTTGCCCGGATAACTGCAGAACCTCTGCGTTCATTTTCTCGGAACCTGCATATAGTGGTTCTGTTACAACAAGAAAGAAATGCAAACAAGAACGTCCTTACAGTATCGAGTGGTCTGTAGACGTTTTTTGTCGTCAGAAATACGAGACTGTTTCTCCTGGTAAAGAGACCACCGTCTGTCATCGATTAAGCCGAGGTCTCTCCCCACCGGAGTAAGACGACTATCTGCATTATCGGCCCGAAGTAGCAGACGATGTTCTGAACGGCTGCATTTGAAATGCATTAAAAAGGGCAAGTTAAGTGAAATAAACATACTTGCCTTGTTAACATGCGATATGGCTCTCTTAAGTTCTTTGTTACCAGGTCGTCTATTAGTGTTCCTATATATGAGCTCTCCCTTTCCAGAACAAAAGAATCCTTCTTGCAGCAATATCTTGCAGCATTAACACCTGCTACGAAACCCTGCATTGTAATCAACACATTTTTATATATCCAGCCAGAACACCACCTGTACCTGAGCAGCAGCTTCTTCATATCCAGTTGTTCCATTTATCTGTCCACTGAAATATAAACCCTCTAGCTTCTTTGTCATTAGCGTCGGATAGCACTGGTTTGCAGGCAAATAATCATACTCCACGGCATATGCTGGTCGCAGCATCGCACAGTGTTCTAAGCCAGGTAAGGTTTGCAGTAAAGCTAGCTGCAATCTCTCCGGTAATCCAGTCGAAAATCCCTGGTTTCAAGCAATATATGTCAGAAAACTACATCTTTCTTATCTTCCAACCTGCACATAAAGCTCAGGAACACTTCTTCCTTCCGGTTCTAGAAATATTTGGTGGCTGTCTTTGTCTTTAAATCTGACAATCTAGAATTCAAAGCAATATCAGAATATTTATATGCTTTCATACCGTAAACATTTTACCTTGTCTTCGATGGAAGGGCAATATCTGGGGCCTTTCGATTCCACCCATCCTCCATATGTTGGAGTTTCAAGTAAATTTTCGTTAATGAGCCTGTGAGTCTCTGGCGTCGTCCGTGTAATGTAGCAACACTGCTGGTCTCTCTCAACGTGTGCGGCTGGATCAAAGCTGAACCACCTCACCTAGTATCAATAACACGTTGCAACAAAACGGGAAAAACAAGCATTCTTACCTCCTCGTCACCAGGCTGCGACTCCAATCTGCTTGTATCCACGGTCCGAACATCCACCCTTGCGGGAGTTCCCGTTTTAAGCCTGTCGGTCTCAAAACCAAAACTCTGAAGGTTCTCCGTAAGTCCTTGCGATGCCGACTCGCCCGCTCTCCCTGCGCTCATGGATTTGCGTCCAACCCATATCTTTCCATTCATAAACGTCCCGGTCGTCAGAACCACCGCTGGTGCAAAGAAATTAACGCCGAAGAAGGTGCCGACCCCTTCAACGTTGTCATTTCTTCCAACCAGCACCTCAGTCACCATAGACTCCCGGATAAACAGATTCTCTGTGCTGAAAGTTAGCCAAAAACAATATAAATCCCATAGAAAGATCGAAAGAAGAGAAAAACGCTTACGTTTCCACGACCTTCTTCATCTCTCTAGCGTACTCCCTCTTGTCGGTTTGGGCACGCAAAGCCCACACCGCAGGACCTTTGGAACGATTCAACACTCGCTTTTGCAAATAACACCTGCAAGGAAGGATAAACAATTGGCAACGAGAAAGAAGATAAGAAAAATCGCTTATACTTATCGGTGATCTTTCCAATCTCTCCGCCAAGAGCATCCACTTCGTGAACCAGTTGCGATTTCGCCGGGCCACCAACAGCGGGATTGCAAGGCTGACAAGAGAGATTTCTACATGCAAATGAGAGATTTCCGTGTCTACCTGCCAAGCTATTCGATCGAGATTGAGTGTGAGCATCAATGTGCGAGCCCCCATTCTCGCCGCTGCTAGGGCCGCTTCGCAGCCGGCATGGCCGCCTCCAACAACGATGACATCGAAGTCGTGCTCCTTCCCTGTGCGTGCAAGAGATTGGACAAGGAAAATCGCGAAATTTCGGAGATTTACCACTGGCATTGCAGCACAGTAGCGAAGATCTTCGCTTCCCACAAAGCCTGGCATCGCTCCAAGGGACGCCGGGCCGGACATTGCGTGGTGTCGATGGAACGAGTAGCGTAGCCATAAACCCTAGCACTTTAAGCGGCGCCCTTTAATCTAAAATTTTTCCTTCTCTATCCTGAATAACAGGCTCTAGAATCAAATGGCTAGCATGTGTCATAGACAACATCTTGTTAAAACAACACAAAACATAAAACCATGAAAGAAAAGAAGTTGCCCAAAGTTCCACAGTGAGATCATTGGCCACCTTTTGGTTCTTGACTGTCTCCTGGAGTGTGCCATGCTATAACACTGCCTTTCGCCTTCATGGTGATGGTATGGTTTACTTCCCAGGAGAAGGGAGAACTTGACAGTATGGAGTTCTATTGGCCAGGGAGATGAATTTGGGCCATTTGTCCTGCTTGCTCACAATAATATTACAAATGAAACGAAAGTATAAAGGCAGGAATATGGATGCCTAAAGGCAAATCAAATCATGAGCTATAGTAGTCTCACTGGAGCACTCAGCTTCAACAATGATGCATCTAACAGCTTGATGCAACATCTGGAACCTCAATCACTCCTTTACCGTAAGAACTTTGATCATCTTGAAACGAATTCATGACTAAAGTGTCTGATTCCCCTGCCAACATTTATAGCTCTGAAAAATTCCACTTTCAAGCTTTATAATGTTCTTGACATCTGATGTTCCTCCAGCACTACAAAATGGACCCGGTGTTTGGGGCTGGATTCTTCCAGCATATCCCGCTGATATGAAGCAGAAACGCCATCTTGCAGATCCTCTTTTCAAACCTATGACATTGTAAAATTCTAATTTCAGCATGAGAACCAAAGCAGCCCCCACCATAGAAATCCACCAGGGCTGTGACATCCCAGAAAAATTCCTAGGAAATTTACCACACAGGGTAAATAATCTCTGCCAAGCTTTTGATTGTATGCCACTAGAGCCTCTCTTTTTTGGTAGACGGCGTACTTTTATTTGTTGCGCTTCCTTCATTGAAGCAATGTCCTGAACGAGAAGAAAAATCTTAGGAGAAGCTGAAGTGTGTGAGCACAAAATCTCTGAAGAACTACTTCCACCAATTTACCCACACCCTCTTCATCCCTTCCCACCCACAATCCCCTACTATCTAGCCAGCCCTCGCCACCGTGCTTGCGGCATGAACGGTTGGATTGGTCCATGCAGCCCATCCATGCCCATCCAATGTGGCATGACCGACCAATATTTGAAAATTTGTTCGTTGCAGAAAGATTCCACCAATATAAAATATTTAATTTTCAGTTCAATCCACATGAAAGCTGGTAGAGAGAATATGGTTATAGACTAATACAACACCATACTCTAAGATGGTGACCAATCGATCACCAAATAAGAGATAGCATTCTAAGAAACATTGGCCTTGCTGCCATTATAAGGCATATTATATTATAAAGCCACTGCCAGCAGATCTCATCATCAATCACCCTGCTAAAACATGAGAATATGAAGAGCAACATGTGTACAAGTAGGTGCAGAATTATCACCATTTCAATGGACATTAAAAGGATATTTGCTATTGTGGCCTTATGGTGGAGATCTACTCTTGTGGTTGTGCGACTCACTATGTTATCCTGAAAGAACAAGTGAAACTCATTCTACTAGAAGAGTGGCAGATTAAGAGTTTTATCTGCTGCTTGATGATGAAAGTGGCGATCTCAAGGTGTTCAATCATCCACCAGGTGCCAAGGCAAAAGGCCTCTGGAACTAGTGCATCACATTTGACATCTCTAGGGCAAGTTGTCAAGTTGTATCAGGAAAAGCCAGTAGAAACACTGGCCCAATACTCATGGCCTAGTTATCTCATCCCACCTGACTTGTACTCTCCAACCATGTTGTCCTCGACATCTGATGTAGCTCCATGCTGGATTTGTGGTTGAACTTGCTCCTTCGAACCAGTAGAGTCCTAGTTTCAAACTTTGGAACATCTCCTAGTTTTTGTATCACTTTGAGAATCTGCTACTATACCTCTTTTGGCACATCATATTCCCACAATACTTGTTGCAATATCTCTATCTATAGCGCATGTGATCATGAAATGAAATTTGGATATACTATCACCGTGGATCCTTGGAATCTTGGGGGATAAATGGGGATAAAATAGCCACTAAAGGCTCTCTCATTAAGCAATTG